AGGATGTGTTCATTTTGTTCACTTATACCAACAAAATGCAATTTGACCAGGGGTACACAAACTTTTCCACAGTACTGTATACACTCACTGCGTACTTCATTAGGGACACCTACCTTGTTTCTACACTCATTGTCCATTTTATCAGCTCCACTGACCATATAGGAGCACTTTGTAGTTCCATCTGTTTCTCTGCATACTTTGTTAGCCCCCTTTTACCCTGTACTTCAGTGGTCAGGACCCCCATGGACCCTCACAGAGCAGGTATTACTTGGGTGGTGGATCATTCTCAGCACTGCAGTAACACTGATGTGGTGGTGGTGTGTTAGTGTGTGTTGCACTGGTGCGAGTGGATCAGACACAGCAGTGCTGCTGGAGTTTTACACACCTCAGTGTCACTGCTGGACTGAGAATAGTCCACCAACCAAAAACATCCAGCCAACAGCGTCCTGTGACCACTGATGAAGGACTAGAGGATGACCAACACAAACTGTGCAGTAGCAGATGAGCTATCGTCTCTGACTTTACATCTACAAGGTGGACTGACAAGGTAGGAGTGTCTAATAGAGTGGACAGTGAGTGGACACAGTGTTTAAAAACTCCAGCAGCACTGCTGTGTCTGATCCACTCGCACCAGCACAACACACACTAACACATCACCACCACATGGTTGTGGTTACTCGGTGAAAGTATGAAGGCTGGGTAAGTGGGCGTGGTTATTCAATGAAGGTATGAAGTCTGGGCTCCTGATTTCTGGGAATATTATTTTATGTATCAAGGCATACCCTCCTGGTAAAATACCATTTAAGAGCTGCGTATGTAAATGACGTGAAGCCTGAACATCCTAACATTACTAAAGAAAGGATGCAGGGGCATTTTGAAAACAAGTCCTGAAAAAAATCTAACTTTGGCCACAATCACCAAAGGTATGTTTTGTTGAAAAAGGAGCAGCATTTGATGAAAAGAACACCTTGCTGACTGTTAAGCATGGGGTGGATCTAGTGTGACAGCTAGTAGCAAACATTGCAGGGGTGGATGGAACAATAGATTCTACTAAATAGCAAATTCTGGAAGCAAAAATGATACAATCTGTCAAAGAAGCTGCAGCTGAAAGGAGGCTTGCTATAATACAAAAATCATGCCTCAATATCCGCCATCAACTATTGCAAGCTAAAGCTGTTGGAATGGCCCTCGCAGTCCCCTGACTGTCCCAGGTTTTACGTGTGAAAAGAGCTTGCGTGTGGCTGCAGCAGCTCATGCATTATTCAGCAGGCTGGGGGGGGGTGTTGCCATGGCAGTTAGACTCCACGCCATCTGTTTCTCAATCTAAATACACACACATACACGGCTCACATTACCACAAATACACACATGCATACACACACAACTATTTGGGTGTACGCAATGGATACTTTTAAATGGATGCATGTGAGTACAGCTATTTGTGTAAGTTACTCTCATGATGGGGCGGCTTTAATGTTTTTTTTTTCTACACTCAAATTGAATGAGGCTCTCAATATTAAAGTATTATCACAACATTTAAATATTTGGCCAGTTAGGCCTTAATTGACTTGTTAAGACTGATTAGGCAGGTCAGGAAATCTCATTAGGAATTGTCAGCTGAGCATAATAAATTTGCTAACTCTTCAAACCTTGTGCTAACACTAAACAACCACTGACTTCTCTAAGCAGCTGGCTGAGGATCTGAAAATGAAGCTGTTGATTCCTACAAAGCAGGTGATGATATCAAAGTGCTGTCCACTCACAGTATTAGCTGTCCAAAATGTAATTAAGAAATGGCAGTTAAAGGGAACTGTGGAAGTCAAGATCTGGAAGACCAAGAACTCTCAGTTAAAACTGCTCGTATGCTGGACAGAAATGCAAAGCAAAACCCCCACGTGACAGCAAAAGACTTGCAGGAAGGTTCAGCTGACGATACATTGTTCTACTGTGCAGCGTTGTTGCACAAACCTGATTTACAAGGAAGAGCTATCGGAAATCTTACCTGTAAACCTCATCACATAAGTCAGTGTATGTTCTAGAAAGACTGAGGCATTTTGAAACAAGCTCTGTGAACTGATTAAGTAAAAATAGAACTCTGTGATATAAGTCTGATGGAAAAAGGAGCAGCATTTGATGAAAGGAACACCGTGCCAACTGTTAATCATGTGGGTGAACCTATTATGCTTTAGGGTTGTGTGGCACAAGAAACAATACACAGGCAGATGGAAGAGAGGATTCCACTAAATATCAGCAAATTATGGAAGCAAATATAAGAATATAAGACAGTGATAAGAACACATCCCTCAAGATCCACTACCTCAATAAACACAAGCTAAAGCTTCCCTGGACTTGAACATCAGTGAAAATCTGTGGGCAGATCTTAAACATACTGTGCATGCAAGATGGCCAAAAAATCATCCTCTTGAAATGATAAGATCTGACATTTTTGTAAAATTAAGTTTTTCTCATATTCTTATTCTGTGACAACTTACTAACATTATGAGAGGTGTTTATTAAGTTGTGTGCATTTGTGGACTTTATATAGAAAACAAAAAGGTTCTATCTCCAAAGTCAAACTCTAACTTAGTTCTATAAGGTTCTATCTGCGAGCCAATCAGCACTTTGAATACACACGAGAGGACCAATCAGGTTCCACTTCTTTGTCATGTCGCCGCTCTGCTCAGTGACTGCGGGAAAATTTTATGAAACATGAAAGCATGTTGCTGTAACTCTGCCTGTCTATTTGAAGTTCTTTAAAATGTTTCATTGTCTTAAATTTTATAAATATTAAGCCTTAAAGGTAATGAACATTTGAATTGATGGGCTCTTAATTACAACATGAACATTAATTTCTTTCATTCATCCATCTTTTCTTTTTCTTCTATCTTCCAAAATAAGACATTTTGGATTAAAATATATATTTTAAATATTTTAGTTTAAATAAATATAATATTTAGATCTAAATATTTACAAAATATAGAGCACTAACCTTTATACTTAATCTGCAATGCCTTTTTGAATAAGAAAAAGATGATTTATCCTAAAATAAGAAATAAATGTTATAAAAAAATAAACAAATGATAAAAATAAATGCCATAAAATGTCATAGAAATCATTAAATGTAACTTTTTGAGACATGTAGACTCTCTGTTACACACTAATTTTACATTGTAAAACAAATTACAAGTATACATTGTTTGTGCTCCTTTAAATCACTGCTTCTTTTCATGTTTTGTCAGACAGAACCTTATAATTCCAAGCAGAAAGTGAGTTCTCAGGATTAGAAGGTTCTATCTGCATTGGAGCTGTTCCAAAAATACTTCTTTGCAGATTTGATAGGATTTTGATATTGTACATTTAGAACAGATTTAGGGTGTCTGTCATTTTCATGTACTGAAGTGACGTGTATCAGTTTTGCTATTTGGAATCCAAAATCTTTGAAGCTCAATATCTCAAAACTGCTCAGAACGCATATAGAACCTTATAGTACCAAGGCAACGAAATATTGAGGAACTACAAGTGTTTTGCAAGGAATAGTGGGGGATACATTCCCAAGACAAGAATAGAAACTCCTAGACTCCCAACTGGCCACAAAAAGCTTTTGCGAACTGTGATATTAAGTACCGACTGAGTGGAGTGTCCAAAATTTTTCACATGCCACATTTACTAGTTTACTTTTTCTATTTGTTCAGTTAATCAAATATAAAGTATGCTGTGCATTAACTTTGCAGAAAATTGTTTGAACAATGAGAAAGTGAAAAAACACATCCGGGCATTACAAAATTATTGGTCAGAGTTTTGGGGGAACCTGTATTAGACTAGATTCACACCAAGCACAATTTTTTCAGACAAAAATTGAAAGTGGTTTTAATGTTGTGAGGTGCTCACACCAAATCCGATAGTTTCGTTTTTTAACACTCTGGAAACACATTTTATTCCATAGAAGTCACAGTTACTGTTAGAGACAACAACAAAAGCCTGCTGTAATTTTGTATGAATTGTTGCTGACTTGTAGCTGGGTCATTCTACAGAAACGTCCATTTTTGTGTCCTGAGCATTTACAGATATATTACAGTTGAAAAAAATGTTAAGGTTATAATTTATTTGTATTTTAAAATAAAACAATAAGCTATTTTAACAGTTAAACCTTCTTGAGCCTCAATTCAGCAATATTGGTTTTCAAATCAATCATATTGAATTCCGAGCACCACAGAAGAGCTCGTCCCCACAGTCATGTGTAAAGGCTGAGGCCATATTTTGAGGTAAAAAACATCTTTTATTTTTAACTGCAATAATCTATACATGACTGTGGAATATATTATTTAAATGACATAAAGAAAACAAATGCCAAATAAATATTATTAAATATATAATGAAAGTTGTGGTCCCCAGGAGTCGTGTCACTGGTGTTACCACGTAACAAAAAATCTCTTATTTTGAAATAAAAGTCACACTGATGACATCACTCGACTTCCTTTTACCTGTTTTCTGAGGATCTATGAAGAAAAGCACATGGTGAGTCCACTGTGTCTTTCAGTTATCAGAGATTTTCTCATTTAGCTCATGATTTCATATGAAGCTTTCAGCTGAAGTCACTGGTGTGACCCACTTAATTCTGAGGTAGAATATAAATGGATTCAACTACATATTTTGGTGGATATTCCATGATTGACAACATGTGGTTTGATGCTCTGTAGCAGCCGTTTTGTAAAATGCATTTTTCATTAAAAATGCCTCTGGTGTTCCTTTATTATGTGTAACACCAATGAGGCTCAGTAACACCAGTGACACGTATGGAGAGATAGAAAAGTGGACGTTTCTGTAGAATGACCCAGCTCATTGGAATAAAAGGAATAAATATGTGGAAATACAGAATATAAATCAAATATAAATGTGATGAATTACAGGCCTACCTTTGTAATTAATCATGTAATTCAGTAATTGCATAGTAATGGAAATCAAATGTACAGTAAAAACACTCTAAAGGGTTAAACTCTTACCTGCTGGTGGTTTGATGAGAGGGGGTGGGATCAGGGGCACGATGATTGGCAGGCCCCCTTGCTCCTTGGCAACTGCTGTCGAGGAGGAGGGAGCGGCCGTTTCTGCGGCGACGCCGTTCCGTGGCGTGGGGGTGGAGCTGGAGCTGTTGGCGTGAGGTGGAGAACCGCTGTTTTCGGCCGCGGACGCTTTTGGCAAAGAGTTTTCTAGAAGGATGGAGAGGGAGAGAGAGAACAGCGGTTTGGACAGCAGCCTCGGAAGCAAGTCCACTGCAGCATCCACTTCTGTTGGACTCAGAGCAAAACCAAACCACGATAAGCTCTCGACTCTGAGAGGTGCATAAAGCTTTGAAAACTCGTTTGTTATGTGCAGACCTTGGGGTGATTTTCCCAGCTTTAGTTAATCCATCTTTTCCAGATAAGTGACAAACAATATGTCAAAATATGAGAAAATATGTTTTCTTTTATTATTTTATTACTGTCAAGAAAATTTGGTTGATTTTACACTATCCTGACAGTCTCTGTGCAGTCTGGCAATCTGATGTCTGTTTTAACTCTATCAAATGTAACAACTCGTTTGGTGATCCATTCGTTGTCTTTGCCCCCTTTAAATGATTAAAATCTGAGTAGTTGGTCAGGGTGCATGTCCATGTTGGTCAGTAATGGATCAGCATGTAGAATTGGAGCTTTCTGAGAGCTACAGTGTTTCCTATCACTGTGTAAAAGAACATTACAAGCCTTGTTGCTCAAATCCGATTTTTTGCTCAAATCCGATCTCTTTGACACGATGGTTCACATTTGTTTAGGTAAGTGATTCAAATCTGTCATTAATGTGACGAACCGGCGTCCTGAAATGACCCTCATGAGCTCATCCTACTCAGTAACGTCACATGAATGAATCACGTTCATCATCAGCACAAACTAACGAGCAGAACGAGCTTCGCTGAGAAGATCATTAACTCTGATCAGCTCTCAGCTTCATTATTAGAGCGAGACGAAGGAGAAAAAGGTGAGATGAGCTGCTTTTCCATTGTTTACAGGCTTTAATGTCTGTTCGGCGCTGCTGCCATGGTAACGTTGAATGATGGCACACGCACAGTGGAAAAAAAGCACATGAAGTCCGATCTTAGTGTCACATTAAGGTTGCATGGCCACGAATCGGATACGTATCTGATCTAGGACCACACATGAAAGTGACTCAGGTCAGATTTGAAAAGATCAGATTTGTGTCCACACAGCCCTGAAAACATCAGATCTGAGACACATTATGGCAAAAAATCAGATTTGTGCCACGTCAACCTGGTAATGTGAACGTGGCCTTAGATGCACTGTGATAGTTTCTGACCAAATGTGTGCACACACTCGGAATGCAAAACTCTATGGACATGATTATTATTGACTTGTTTCATCAAAGGAACAATTATATATTACTATACATAATTATATATTATGTAATAATTATATAACAATTATATATTACTATATAATAGACTACTTCTAACTGGCCACTTTATTAGAAACACCTACCTTGTGCTTCCACTAACTGGCCACTTTATTAGAAACACCCACCTTGTACTTCCACTAACTGGCCACTTTTTTAGAAACACCCACCTTGTACTTCCACTAACTGGCCACTTTATCAGAAACACCTACATTGTGCTTCCACTCCCTGGCCACTTTTTTAGAAACACCCACCTTGTACTTCCACTAACTGGCCAATTTATCAGAAACACCTACCATGTGCTTCCACTCACTGGCCACTTTATTAGAAACACCCACCTTGTACTTCCACTAACTGGCCACTTTTTTAGAAACACCCACCTTGTACTTCCACTAACTGGCCACTTTATCAGAAACACCTAACTTGTGCTTCCACTCACTGGCCACTTTATTAGAAACATCCACCTTGTACTTCCACTAACTGGCCACTTTTTTAGAAACACCCACCTTGTACTTCCACTAACTGGCCACTTTATCAGAAACACCTACATTGTGCTTCCACTCCCTGGCCACTTTTTTAGAAACACCCACCTTGTACTTCCACTAACTGGCCAATTTATCAGAAACACCTACCATGTGCTTCCACTCACTGGCCACTTTATTAGAAACACCCACCTTGTACTTCCACTCACTGGCCACTTTATGAGAAACATATACCTTATAGCTCCACTATGTAGGTATACAGTTACAGACTGTAGTCCTTCTGTTACTGTACAGTTTATTAGCCCCACCTCTTCCGCATTCATCATTAGTCAGTTTCTGACCACAGAACTGCTGTTGCCCAGATATTATTTCTCAGCACAGCAGTGGGACTGACATGCTAGTGTGTGTGGGGCTGGTATGAATGTATCAGACACAGCGGTGTTGCTGAGGTTTCACTGCTAGGTTGAGAGTGGTCCACCACCTAAAAATAAATATTCAGCCAAGAGCAGCTCTGTGGTCAGAAACTGACCACTGATAAAGGGGTAAACAGATGTAGCTACAGTCTGTAACTACAGCTACAAGAGAGGGGTTTCTAATAAAGTGGCTGCTTGACTTCTGTGTAGTTTCTGTTGTGTCCCAGCTGCAGTCTAGACCGTGCGGACGGAATGTGTCCCACTTACTGACCTAACAAACACACAGAACTGAGTCCTGCCTGGCAGAGAAAAGAACATTTAACAGAACTCAGCTTCATTGCGCTTCTACACCTGCTGCTCACTACACAGCGTCAACGCTAAATGCCCAAAACACGACACGGGCAGATTTCCAGAAACTCGTTTGTCATTTTGACTGTGCATGAGAGCTGATAGGGATTAAGTCTAAATGAGTTAATTAAGTTTGATTGTCTCGTCCCTAATCTCGCCACTTCCAGCTTCGTCTGCCAACAATGGCGCAGTATCGTAATCTGTAGCCGTGGATTTGTACGATGGCGGAATGTAATTATGGGGCCAATCTCGGGGCAGGCGCGCAGCGTTAGCGAGATGTCGCTAACAGCATCGTAGCACAGCACTCAGTAAACGCTAAATCTCTCCTTTCTGTGAGAGTGGGGGGATGCGGCTAGTGGGCTTCTTCGGAGGGGAGGGGGATTAGCTTCTTCATTGTGTCCAATCTCTCCAAGCTGCTGAAGATGGTTGACAATTTAAGTCGCGCTAATGCGCTAACTGGGGGCATCTCGCAGGCGGCTGCGTAAAACCCAGGATAAGAGCACCAACTTCAGCCGAATGTTTTCACAGGAGAAACAATGAGGAGAGTTTAGGAATTTAACTTTGCCTCCTGTCTCTTCCTGTCAGCACTATAGATGCAGCTTTACTTAATTTAGGTTCCTAGGCTGTTTTGGCGCCTGCAGGAAAACTCAGCGTAGATTCCTGTTTGATGTTCAGAAAGTCGTCTGTGTGCACAGAAGGGATAATAAGAGCAGCCGGCCTAATGCTACACCGCTACGGTGCAGAAGCCGCCCAGTCAAAAAGTGTATGATGCTAATATTAAATGAAAATGGACAGCCACCAAATAGCATCACACAAATTACATGCTACTTGGTAAATACTAGCTTCCATTCGCTGTTATAGCCACATTAGCAAGTAGCACTGACATTTTTTGGCATTAATGATAAAAAGGTGGAGGTGGAAAAAATGAGAGGTGAGAGTTTCAAATGGACAGTCTGTGTAGAAGCAAGTAGCCAAAAAAACATAGGAAAGAAATAAGCTGTTTTTGCTATTTTTGCTTTATTCTTTTATGTTTGCTGTCAACTTTATTAGAAACCCTGTCCTGGTACTTGCATTCATTGGCCATTTTATTAGAAACACCTACCTTGTGCTCCCACTCACTGGCCACTTTATTAGAAACACCCTCCTTGTGCTTCCACTAACTGGGCATTTTATCAGAAACACCTAACTTGTGCTTAAACTAACTGGCCACTTTATTAGAAACACCTACCTTGTGCTTCCACTAACTGGCCACTTTATTAGAAACACCTACCTTGTGCTTCCACTAACTGGCCATTTTATTAGAAACGCCTACCTTGTGCTTCCACTAACTGGCCACTTTATCAGAAACACCTACCTTGTGCTTCCACTAACTGGCCACTTTATCAGAAACACCTACCTTGTGCTTCCACTAACTGGCCATTTTATCAGAAACACCTACCTTGTGCTTCCACTCACTGGCCACTTTATTAGAAACACATTCCTTGTGCTTCCACTGACTGGTCACTTTATGAGCTCCACCTAGTTTATGGCTCCACTCACTGGCCACTTTATTAGAAACACATTCCTTGTGCTTCCACTGACTGGTCACTTTATGAGCTCCACCTAGTTTATGGCTCCACTCACTGGCCACTTTATTAGAAACACATTCCTTGTGCTTCCACTGACTGGTCACTTTATGAGCTCCACCTAGTTTATGGCTCCACTATATAGGTGTACAATTCCAGAACGTAGCTTGTCTGCTGCTGATTAATTAGCCCTCCCTCTATCCTGTTCATTATTGGTCAGTTTCTGACCACAAGACCACTGTGGCTGTCTAACACAAACTGTGCATCAACTGATAGGCTACATTCTCTAACTGTACACCAGCAAGCCCTGCTGAAAAGACCAGCACAGACCAGCATGAATTCCATGCTGGTCTATGCTGGTTTATACTGGTCTAGTGCTGCAGAGCATAGTTGTGCTGCTGACCAGCATGCCAGCATCCAAAAACACAGCATATGTTCATTTTGCTGGCGACCAACCAGGCAGGTCTACACTGGTTTTTCCATAACAGGGAGACGGAGCTATAAATGAGGGGTTTCTGATAAAGTGGCCAGTCAATGTACATGCAGTGGGCATCTTATTTCAGTAGACAGCGAGTGGATAGTAAGATAAAGTAGTGTTGCTGGTTTGGTGGTAAACGCTGCTCACCTTTCAGCACTGAGATGTGCTGCCGGAGTTCTCCGTCGGGATAGTTGCGTATCTCGATGTCGTCAGAGTCTCGTAACTCCACCTTGTCGTAACCGTACCAGCCCAGTAGCTCGTTCATCGTGTTTTCAGCGAAACTCTGCAAGACAAACAAAAAAACACCAACACCAGCTTTGAGTACAGTTCAATGAACACCAGATATATTTAGCAGGAAATTAAAAAATGCAATGATTTTGGAGTAGGATGAAGTATGGGATAATTTTTTTGGAAAAAAAAAACATTCTCAGACTATCTTTAAATATAAAGTGTGGTGTATTGTTTATTGTATATCGCTGCTGTCGGAAGAAAACCTCATATCTCCACTTCTGACGTTTTTCAGTTTTTGTAATAATTTGAAAATGCCTGTTGGCCTTTACATTGGGTGTAGATTTCATGATGAATGGACAGAAAGAAACGACCTAAAATGACTAGGAAAAATGTCTGGTTCCATTGACTTACATTAAAAGTAAAACATGTTTTTTCCTTCTCCTGTAAAGTTACTATTTTGGAGATACGAGGTTTTCTTCCGACAGCGATATAATCCATTACTGTTAACTGTTCCTCCAGTTACATTTATGAATTCAGTATCTTTTTCTCAAAATAATTTTGAACTCCAATGTAAAATGAAAAAACACTCATTTCTCCACACATTTGACAAAGACATAACCTAAATTCTTTTATTAATTAATGCAAGTTTGGAATCACTGATCATATTAATAATTGCTATTTTTTCAATAATAAATTGCACAGTGTAGAATTAAATACAAGATAGCAGATGGTAATTTTTTGGGAACATCAAGAAGTTATCAAATGATCTACCATATTTCAAATATGAGGCATTCTGGATATTAATTTTATTAGAACTTCATTCTCAATGTTTCTAAATTTTTGATGAAAATTTGATGAAAAACTTTTGAACAGCAACAGTATGAAACAATCTTTGATTGTCATGTTGCTTGGCAACCACAGCCTACTGTTAACAAACTACACTGCCAGATTTAAGAACTGTTCAATATGATTATTATTGGTAATAAATTAAACTATTTATTGAACATAAACACTGTACATGTTCATGCTGTAATTTACCATGAAATCACTGTAACGTACGGCCTTGAGTGGCTTATTGCTTTATTATAACAAACACAACCAACAACACGGATCTTCCTACTCTGTGCTGGAAAAGTTCAAATAAGTCTTAAAGTCAGCAGTTGTTAAATCAATGCTGTGCAACCTACTGGCTTAAAATCCAAGTACTCCACCTGTGTTATAACTACACTGTATGTCCAAAGGTTTGTAGACACCTGATCCTCCAATGTTTCTTCTGAAATGAAGGTGTTAATAGTGAGTTTGTGCTGCAGTAACAGCCTCTACTCTTCTGGGAAGGCTTTGCACTAGATGTTGGAACACTGCTGTGAGGATTTGATTGAGCATTAGTGAGGTCAGGTACTGATATTAGATGGTCAGTTCTGGATCACTCCAACTCATCCCAAAGGTACTGGATGAAGCTCCATCACTCCAGAGAACACAGTTCCACTGCTGGCAAAGTGCTGTTGCTATTCCACACTTAGATCCTTAATCAACATTTGTTTGACTGACACATCTGGCACATATTCAATTATCAAACAGACTGTATTAATGTAACAATGCACAACGCAGTGAAATACAGTGATTAATAATGAGCTCAAATGATTCCTATTTAATGCAGAAATTCCACTTTTAAAAATTCCATTTTTAAAATCTACATAACTCAGTGTGTGAGATGTAAACAGAGTCATTCAGAGTGGTTTGGTGTGAAATGGTTCTGATGTCTTTACAGTGGTGGTGATAGGAACCAGGGGTCGCCATGACTACAACACAAATATAGACATTTTATTTACTATCCAGAACCACCAGTGAACCTACACGAGTCTTCTGAGTTTATATGGAATGTTGATGATGGGAAAATAGTGAGAAATCTGAAAAGATACATTTTGTTTTGGGGCGATTTTGCTCACAACGCTCTGCATGTACCCCTTCACCATGAAACATGTTTTAGCCCAAAACCCTCCCAAAACTATCATTAAACAGTGTCTCAGACAATCATAACCATTTCATGTAGTAACTTTCTGTGTGGGAGCTTTTGGAGGTGGACATCTGGTTCCTATCACCACCACTGTGAACAGTTCTGACTCGGTAAGTTTCTCTAGAACAGAGCGTTTCACACCAAACCACTCTGAATGACTCTGTTAACATCTCAACAATTTAAATATACAGAATTTTGAAAAATCTGTGGAATTCCCCTTGGAAATCACCATTTTCAGAATTCTCTCAGCAATAGAATTTAAAGGAAAAGATCAGCAAAATCTAATTTGCATAGTTTTCACTCTTAGACCAAATGCAGTCGATCAGCCAAGACATGTTTGGTGTCTGGGGTTTCCTTCTTTAGTTTTACACTGAAGCTACAAAGCTAATGTAGCTAACAAGTAATGGAAGATTATGTATACCAGTTAGCATAGTGCTAACTGCATGCCCAAATCAACATACACTTGTTTCAAACTGTGTGGAGTTGTTCAGCATCTCTAATACACTTGAGTATGTGGTTTCTGACACTGTATGACACACTGTGATCAATAAATACGGACAATAATACATCACATTGCTAAAACGTAGTAGCTAGCAGCCACCTAGCTAAATATTATCAGCACATATTGTCCATATTTATAGAAAACAGTGTGAGATTACTTAACAGTAGACACCAATGTAGGCAAACAGTGTACACAATGCTGGTTGCTGTACATTAGCTTCCATTACTTAACAGCTACATTAGCCTTTTAGCTCCAGCGCAAAACTATAGCAAACTTCAGACACCAAACATGTCTTTGCTAACAGACTAGGTTTGGGGTACGAGGGGAAACTGTGTAAATTTATTGGCCAAACTATTGTTATAAACCAAGTTCATGCTGCTATGAGGCCTTGCAGTCATCAAAGACTCTCCCTAGCCTTTAACCGAAAGTCTGAATTTTGGAGCTCATCACAAAATCCAGAGCTTTCTCCTACAACTCTCTCAAATTGATCAAAACTACTTGATCAATCGTTCCAAACCATGCAGGATACTGAGAATAAAACTGAAAGGCAATGAATAAAAATGTAAATTCATACTCTAACCGAACATTTACCTTAACAGCCATGTAAGACAAATGTGCTGTATCAGTAACAGACGTTCAGAATGTTTTTGTTGACCATGCAAGTTTTCCCAACTGCGTGCTACACGAAACCCACTAGCTGCTTGAAGAACATCTATAGAACCATAGATGGAGAAGAACTTCATTCTTCTGCTGTTTTTTTGTTCTTTGTCGTTCACTGCAGAAAGCGTCACTCAGTCAAATCACTCAAACTAAGGAGGCTCTCACCATTACGTCGGGCGGATTGCCACGGAGACCGCCCCCCTGCCCCGCCCCTGGGAGGGGCATCTCAGCCGGGACCTGATGAGACACGGAGTCAAGAGCTGTCAATCATACCCACCAGAGTGTCAATCAATCACGGCTGCAGTCAATTAACGAGGTGCTTTACTCCGTCACGGTAGATAAATAGCGAGTTTTATTCATTAGTTTAAATCACGCTAACGTTTGACTGCGGTAAAATGACTGTAGTAGTAAAAGCGGAAAAGTCCAAGGGCATCGCGGCCGTGCGGGTGAAGTGGACAAAAGCTCAATTTAGTTTTTTAACATGGGCCAAAGAACTTTAACTAGCCTCTCACTGTATATATATTTACCTGTGCGTAGATTTTACTGCCAAAATTATCCAGAAAGCCCTTCTAATGAGTGAATTCAGATTCTTTAAGATGTCCAGTTGGAGTTCTCTGCATTCTCTTGAGTGATGGAGCTCCATCCAGTACTTTTGGGATGAGCTGGAGTGATCCAGAACTGACCATCCAACATCAGTACCTGACCTCACCAATGCGCATGTGGCTGATTGCAATCAAATCCTTACAGCAATGTTCCGACATCTAGTGTAAAGCCTTCCCAGAAGAGTAGAGGCTGTTACTGCAGCACAAACTCACTATTAACACCTTCATTTCAGAAGAAATGCTGGAAGAGCATTGGTGAGGTCAGGTACTGATGTTGGATGGTCAGTTCTGTATCACGCCAACTCATCCCAACAGTACTGGATGGAGTGATCCAGAACTGACCATCCAACATCAGTACCTGACCTCACTAATGTTCTTGCGGCTGATTGAAAAAAACACTGGAAGAGCAGGCGTCTACAAACTTTTGGAGGTATATTGTATGTGTTTGGGTGAAAATATCCAGCCAGAGTGGCTCTGTGATCATAAACTGACCATCGATGAAGGGCTATAGGTTGGCTAACACAAACCGTACATCAATACATGAGCTACAGTCTCTAACTGTGCACCAGCAAGGTGGAGCTACAAGAGAGGCGTTTCTAATAAACCGACAAAATGTGCATAGGTCAGTATCTATTAAACTGCCCATTCAGCATGTATAAACAAGCCACAGTCACAGAGCTTTCACTTATAAGTGAGTCATAGCAGATTCTTATTCTTACAGCTTATTACAGCAGACTATGTGCATTTAAACAGCTTTTATCCTGGTTCAGACAGTGCACCGCCCCTGTTCTCCCACTAGGGGTCTCTACTGCTGGTAATCTGTAATTGTACAGTGAGTTCACAAGGTCACTCAGAGCAGTTATCGCTCTGTCCACACCAGGCTATGGGGTTACAGCCAGTCGTCCTGGGCCGTTACTGTTTACTCATTTAACTTACTCCACTAAAGCCTTGGCCTCGGGGGACGCGCTCAACTTGATAATGTACAGAGCAGAAGTCTTAGGCCACCCGAGAAAGTTATATTTAAAGCTATTTACAGGCGGCCAACTTCTACATTTTTATCGCAGTGAGATTCCAGCAGGCCAGGAAGGCGAGTTACGGGGTGCCAAGTTTTTTTTCTTTTATTTTTTAGACAGTATTTGTTCAAAATACTGTAATACAATACTTATGTCACATGCTCACTATTACAGGTCTGAGTCACACAATGGTGCTACCTTTTAAGCACACTATTAATGAAGTAACTGAAATTCAGTTCCGAATGTTACTAAATGAAAGTT